GATTATGATGATGGCCTGTGCTGATGGTGATGATTCTTGATGCTGATGATGATGATGATGTGATTGACTTTAGTGGTGGTGATGATGTGATGTGATGGTGTGATGATGGATGGTGTGATGATGCTGATGCTGATGCTGTTGTTGATGATGATGATGATGCTGATGATGACGATGAGATGATGATGATGATGATGATGATGATGATGATGATGATGATGATGATGATGATGAGGATGAAGCTGCTGCTGCTGCTGCTGCTGATGATGATGATGAATGATGATGATGATGATGATGATGTGTATGGAGAAGGATGAGGGAGGGGCAGGAGGAGGAGGAGGAGGAGGAGAAGCGGACGGCTGGGCTGGACGGCGCGTCGAGGAGGACATCGAAGGCTCGCCTGGCGGTTTCGTGGAGGTGGAGGTGGAGGTCAAAGCTGGCGTGAGTTGGCTGTTGTGTGTTGGGGGGGAGGAAGGGGTAGGATGACAGGAGAGAGGGGAGGAGGCGAGGAGGAGGAGGAGGAGGAGGAGGGAGGAGGAGGAGGAGGGGGAGGAGGAGGAGGAGGAGGAGGAGGAGGGGAGGCCTCTGCCTGTCCGCCCTCGAGCTCGTGGCTGTTGCTGCTCTGCTGCTCCTTCCTGACCGCTTTCTGCGGACAGCTCATGGCAGGATTGTGTTGCACAATCCGAAGTTTGGGTTCAGATTTGGCTGCAGATTGATGAATGGGGGCGGTACTGCGACAGTGCATGTGCGCTGGTCAACGCACGGCACGCGTGCATGCCTCCAGCGGGGCGGACACCCCCTTCGAGTTTGAAGGTAGCATGCGTGCAGATGATTGGGCTCGATGGCAGGCAGACAGATCGAGAGTGCCTCTGCCAGTGCGACAGGCGCATCAGGCCAAGGCTAAGGTTCTCTCTCGTCTCGCTGCATGGGTCGCCAAGATAGGGCCTGCAATGGCAGACCTCGACGCCGTGCATGTCACAGACAAGGAGAGGACGGCGCGGGCGCGTGGGCCCCGCCAGCTGCCCCTTGTCGTGCTGCCGCCGCCTGCCGTCGTGCCGCCCGTGCTCTCGCGTGCGGACCTCGCGTGTGCGCGAGTGGCGTCGGCGCCAGGCAGGCAGCATGTCATTCATCCGTTCCAGGTCGGTGGGGAGGCTGGGCGGATGTGGTGTGTTGTGTGTGTTGTGTGCGGTTATGGGGGGACTCTTGTCTCGGCCTCGCTTTCCACCTGCTGCGCGGGACCGCCGCAGCCCAAGTCGTGGGGAGCGAGGGTTTTGTCGAACCTTGGCCGTACGCCCGCACGGTTCTCTGTGAATAAGGAGCGGCGCCCTCTGGTGCAGCCACTCCGCTCGGGCCTCCTGATTCGTGCTGGAGAGTCGGGCCCCTCTGTCACGTAACTCGTTGGAGTTTTTGCTTCACCCGAGGGGTGAACGAGAGTGCATGGTGGCGCAAGTGGTAATGGCCCCGCATCAAAGGGGAAGCGCCACCCATTGCATTCAAAGGTGTGCGGCGAGACTTATCGTCGCGCAGGGCTGTGTCGAGGAGGAGGAGGAGGAGGAGGAGGTACATGTATGTGTATATGTATATGTATATGTATATGTAAATGTATAGATATATGTATGTATGTATATATATGTATATGCCTATGTATATGTATATGTTGCTGCACGTGTATATGTAGATGTGCATGTATATGTGTATGTATATGTATATGTATATGTATACGTATGCGTATGTATATCATATACATACATATATATGTTTACGTATATGTATAGGTGTTTGTATTTGTATTTGTATATGTATATGTATGTGTGTACGTATATGTATATGTAAATGTTAATGTTTATGTTATGTGTATGTATATCTATATGTATATGTATATGTATATGACTATGTATGTGTATATGTGTATATGTACATGTATATGAAGATGCATATGTTTATGTTTATGTTTATGTATATGTATACGTATATGTATATGTTTATGTATATGTATATGTATATGTATATATGTATATATGTTATATATACACACATATATATGTTTGTGTATGCGTCTAAGTATATGTGTACGTGTATGCATATGTATATGTATATGTATATGTATGTGTATATGTATATGTATATGTAGATGAATATGTACATGCACATGTACATGTATATGTCTATGTATATGTATGTGTATATGTATATGTATATGTACATTGATATGTATATGTATATGTATGTGTTTATGTATATGTATATGTATATATATATGTATATATATATGTATATGTATATATGTATACATGTATAGAGGTATACATGTATATATGTATTTATGTATATGTATATGTATATGTATATCTGTATATTTATATATATAGGCATATGTATATGTAAATGTTTATGCATATTTATATGTATACGTATATGTGTATGTATATGTATATGTATATCTATATGTGCATTTATTTGTATATGTATGCGAGAGAGCGTTCCGTGGTCGCTTGGAGGGGGGGGGGCTGGAGTCGACCCCCCCCCCGCCTGTATGGAGGGGCGGGAGGTTTAGACCCCCCCCCCCCATTCGTGACGGAAGGGGGGGGTTCACTGCCCCCCCCCCCTTACTTCTCCTCTCTCGTTCTCTTCGGGCCGGCGCCTGTGTCGGCGGCGGCTGGCGGCGGCGGCGGGGACGACGATTTCGTTTTCTGGGCCGGCGCTGGCGCCTGCGGCGGCGGGCGGCAGCGGCGGGGAGGGTCGACGAGGACGACGGTGGTGGTGGTGGTGGTGGGTTGTGGTGGTTGTGTTGGTGGCGGTGGCGGTGGTGGTGGTTGTGGTGGTGGTGGTGGTGGTGTGGTTGTTTGTTGTGGTGGTTGTGGTGGTGGGTGGTGGTGGTGATGGTGGTGGTTTGGTGGTGGTGTGGTGGTGGGTGGTGGTGGTGGTGGTGGTGGTGGTGGTGGTGGTGGTGGTGGTGGTGTGGTGGTGGTGTGGTTGTGGTTTGTGGTGTGTGGTGGTGGGTTGTGGTGGTGTGGGTGGTGGTGTGTTTGTGGAGGTGGTGTGGTGGTGGTGGTGGCGGTGGTGGTGGTGGTGTGGTGGTTTGTGGTGGTGGTGGTGGTTGTGTGCTGCTGGTAGTGGTGGTGGTTGTGGTGGTGGTGGTGGTGTGGTGGTGGTGTGGTAGTGGTGGTGGGTTTTTGTGGTGGTGGTGGTGGTGATGGTGAGTGTGGTGGTGGTGGTGGGTGGTGGTGGTGGCTGTGGTGGTGGTGGTGGTGGTTGTGTGGTGGGTTGGTGGTGGTGGTGGTGGGTTGAGGCGGTGGTGGTGGTGGTAGTGGTGGTGGTGGTGGTAGTGGTAGTGGTGGTCATCGTCGCTGCGTCGCCGCCGTCGCCGGCGCCAGCGCCAGCGCTGCTGGCCGCCGCCAACCCCGGCGCCGGCGCCGGCGCCAGGGGGGGGTCTTGAAGCCCCCCCGTGGGCTGCCTCTGGTCATCGTCGCTGCGTCCCCACCGTCGGCGCTGCTGGCGGCCGCCAGCGCCGGCGCCGGCGCCGGCGCCGAGGGGGGGGGGTTTGAACCCCCCACCCCCTTTGAGACGGGGGGGGTTTGGGGGGAAGGGGGTCCTTCTGGTTTAGATCGACGGCGCCGAGTGTCGGAGGGTGGGGCCCCCCCCCCGGTTCGAAACGCGCCGCCGAATGTTCCCAAGGCGAGCGCCCGTGAAACGCGCTTTCTCACATGTATGTATGTACGTACGTACGTATGTATGTTTGTATGTATCAATGTAAGATAGTAAGTATGCGTGTGTGTATATATACACAAATATTAGGTATGTGTGTGAGTGTGCGAGTGTGTGTGTGTGTGTGCGTGTGTTTTTGCTTCCGTTCTCCGGGGGAAACAGCGAAACATGTATACATAAGGATGCCGTATACTCCCGGATCCGCACTTTTCATTACAAGTTGCAGTGCGGGGCTGGAAACCGCGTCGGTGCATATATAGAGCTCGGCTCCTCGCCGACGCCTCGGCTTCCCTGCCAGGGGCGGCAGCGCACACCCCCGTGGGCTCCCGCCGCTCCTTCCGCCTGGAGATTGTTTTTTTATCCTCTGGGGGGTAACGCTCGTTACCCGGGCCTCTCCCCCCCCCCCCCCCGTAACGGTAACGCTCGTACGCGGGGGGGGTCTCGGTCTTCCCCTCCAACATGCTGGTGCCCGAAGGCATGCGCACTGTGGTGTGGTGGTCGCAGGCGCACTGTGGGCGCTCGCAGGCCATTGCGGCGCTCGCATGCGCGATGCTGGTGCTTGCGGGCTTTGCGCTTGTACTCGAATCGTCGTCGTCGTCGTCGTCGTCGTCGTCGTCGTCGTCGTCGTCGTCGTCGTCGACGGCGCCCGAAAACGGCCTCCGGAGGCCGAAACAGGCGGCAAACGTCGTCGTCGTCGTCGTCGACCTCGTCGCTCGTCGCTCGTCGATCATCGTCGTCGCGCGCGCGGGCGCGGGCGTGGTGCCGGGACCACGCGGCGGGCTTTGCGCTTGTACTCGAATCGCAAGCCACTGTGGTGCTCTCAGGCAGAGAGTGCTGCTCGCGCGCATACTATGGCGATCGCAGAGCGCCCCTGCTTCGCCATACCCCGCCCAGCCCAAGCGTTACCGTTACCCGGGGGGCACGACCCCCCCCCCCCCGGGTGACGAGCGTTACCGGCCGGAATAAAAAAATGATCTCCTGCTCGCTGGGAGCGATCGCGGGGAGCCCTGCGTCCGCTTGGCCGTGGGCGGGGGGGGGCCAGAAGGCTGCAGGCCTCCCCGGAGACCGCGGAGACCGCTGCGCGGCCCCCTCCGCCCGCGGGCGGCCCACGACGCCGCGCGGGCGACCGGCCCGCGCCGGCGGCCCCGCGCGTCGCCGACGGCGTCGCCTGCCCGCGAGGCGGGCCCCCAGGAGCTCCAGGGGCCCCCGTCCGCCGAGGCGCGCCGCCCGTCGCGAGGCCCCGTTTGGCCGCCGCGGGGGCCGAGGGCGAGGGCAGCGAGGCGTGGGCAGCGAGGCAGGCACGGAGTCTCGGAGGTCTCGGTCCTTCCGGAGATCTTCGGGGCTCTCTGGGGGTCCAGGTCCCATGGGGTTGCGTCGGGCGTGTGCCTCGACAGGCGGAGAGTTCAAACATAGTGAAACATGGCGTTTTTTGGTCTGTAGAAGTAGCATGTTTTGTTTATTTTTGATTGCGAAGGCCTTATGGCCGGTGCCGCCGACCCTGAATGGCGACGACGACGACGACGACGGCGACGACGACGACGACGACGCTGACGAGCGCTCTCGGGGGCTTCTTGGGGGTAGTTTAGAAGCCTCTTGGGAGGCTCTTGGGGACCGCTTGGGAGCCTCGTGGGGGCCTTTTGGGGTTTTCCCCCGGCGGGGAAGGGATCAAAGGGAAGGGGCCTCTTTTCGACTCAACTACAACGTTGCTCAATTTCGCTGTGGCTGGCGCGCTCGAGGAGGAGGGCCTGGTGACAGTGTGGGGAGCGGCGACGAGCCTAGGGAAAGAGAAAGGGAGCGGCGAAGGCGACGACGACGACGACGACGAGTCAAACGGAGCAGCCTCTTCCACACGCCGACAGGGTCGGCGGATTTTTCGCCCAAAAGCCGCCTATAGGGGGACATGCCTGGCCGACCCAAACCTGGAGTTTCTGGAGGCCTCCTCCAGGCGTCCCCAGGTCTTCGGAGGCGGTTCTGTGGCGGCCTCCTGAGGATTCCAGAGCCATGAAGAAGGCTTGACGTGTTCAGAAACTTTCCCCGTTGGCGGCGAGGCAGGGGCAGGCCGCACCAGCGTGGGGCGGATCGGGGCAACCGATAGGCCAGCTGTCTGGCGCGCGAGAGGGAGAGACGAAGACGAGGGCGGCCGCGCGAGGGAGGGAGGGGGGGGGCGCGCAGACGTGGAGGAGTTCCGCGGCGAGCGGGCCGGAGCGGCGCGTGTTCCAAAACATATGTGAAGTCTCCGATAGCCTCTCGCCAGGCTCCTGGAGACCGTGAACTTCCTGCACCCCGGCACGGGCTTCGGCGATCTCGCGCTGCAGTCCGACGAGGACTGCGCTTTCCTCCTCGGGCTGCCTGCCGCCAGCCCCCGCGGGCGGCAGGCCTCGTCGCCGCGTGGCGGTCGATGGGGTGGCGGCTGGTCGGGGCGGCGCCAGAGGTCGCCGGGGCGCACGTGATGGCAGCCTCGTGTCATGTCGACGAGGCGGCGACTTCAGCGCGGGGGCTCAAGGTCGGGTACCGCCAGTGGCCCAGAATCGGCCGACTTCGAACGGTCTGCGCCATCGGGAAGCCGCCCTCGTTCAGGGTTGAAAGATCCACGCAGTGTCAGAGACCGATACGCAAGTCGGGACGACACGAACCTGCTGTAACGAGGGTGAGAACTAGCTTGTGTCAGCCATTCCCCTTCTGATCTCGAAGAAGGAAAGCGCCATAAACATAAAACTTTTGGCGCTCCGCACGGATTTCTTGGATCCTCACTGGGCCCTCCTGGCGGCGCCTCTGGCGCCGCTCCTGGCGCGCGCCGCGCGCCAGGGAGGGGGGTCCAGCGCAGATCCGAGAACTCTGCGCGGAACGCCAACATTTTGTGTTTAGTTTTGGCGTTTTTGTGTTTCTGCTTCTTCTTATGTTTTTTTTTGTTTATTATTAGTATTATGTATTATTCGTATTATTACCATTATGGCTATATTCGTATGATTAGTGTTACGACTATTAATGTCAGTATTCGAGTTATTACCATTATTAGTATGGTTGTTACTATTCGCATCATTACTGTTATCATTAGTAGTTTTGGTATTCTTAGGACTACTACTACTATTCTTTTTGTTCTTCTTAATCTCGTTGTTGTCGTTGTTGTTATCGTTGTTGGTATCGCTGTTTCTATGATGATGACTACTAGTACTCGTGCCATCATTTTTTATTCGTGCTCGCATTCGTACTTGTATTAGTATTAGTATTCGTATTCGTATTCGTATTCGTATTCGAATTAGTATTCGTTTTAGTCTTAGGCTTAGTCTTAGTATTAGTATCACTAGTAGTAGTAGCAGTATTAGTATTAGTATTAGTATTAGTCTTATTATTAGTATTGGTATTAATATTAGTATTCGTATTAGTATTCGTATTAGTATTAGTATTCGTATGAGTATTAGTATCAGTATTCGTATTAGTATCAGTATTACGATTAGTATTAGTATCACTATTAGTATTAGTATTAATATTTATATTCGGATTAGTATTAGTATTCGTAGTATTACAAATATCTATTAGTACTGGTATTCGTATTCGTATTCGTATTCGTATTCGTATTAGTATTCGTATTCGTATTCGTATTCGTATTCGTATTCGTATTAGTATTAGTATTCGTAGCAGTATTCGTATTAGTATTCGTATTAGTATTAGTATTAGTATTGGTATTAGTATTCGTATTATTATTAGTATAATTATTCGTATCGGCGTGATGCTATTCGTATTAGTATTCGTATTATTATTAGTATTAGTAGTAGTAGTATTCGGATTCGTATTAGTATTCGTATTAGGAAAAGTATTAGTATTAGTATTCGTATTAGTATTCGTATTAGTATTAGTATTCGTTTTAGTATTCGTGTTCGTATTAGTATCAGTAGTCGTATTAGCATTCGTATTCATATTAGTATTGTTATTAGTATTCGTATTCGTATTCGTATTCGTATTAGTATTAGTATTAGTAATCGTATCCGTATTTTTATTAGTTTTTGGTATTCGTATTAGTATTCGCATTGGTATTCGTATTCCTATTAGTGTTAGTAATAGTATTAGTATTAGTATTAGTATTAGTATTAGCATTAGTATTGGCATTCGTATTAGTATTAGTATTCGTATTCGTATTAGTATTAGTATTAGTATCAGTATTAGTATTCGTATTCGTATTCGTATTAGTATTAGTATTAGTAATAGTATTAGTATTAGTATTAGTATTAGTATTAGTATTAGTATTAGTATTAGTATTAGTATTAGTATTAGTATTAGTATTCGTATTCGTATTAGTATTAGTATTAGTATTAGTATTATTTAGTATTTATTAGTATTAGTATTAGTATTAGTATTAGTATTAGTATTAGTATTAGTATTAGTATTAGTATTAGTATTAGTATTAGTATTAGTATTAGTATTAGTATTAGTATTAGTATTAGTATTAGTATTAGTATTAGTATTAGTTTTAGTACTAGTACTAGTACTAGTATTAGTATTAGTATTAGTATTAGTATTAGTATTAGTATTAGTATTAGTATTAGTATTAGTATTAGTATTAGTATTAGTATTAGTATTAGTATTCGTATTCGTATTCGTATTCGTATTCGTATTAGTATTAGTATTAGTATTAGTATTAGTACTAGTATTAGTTAGTATTATTATTAGTGTCAGTGTTAGTGTTAGTGTTAGTGTTAGTGTTAGTGTTAGTATTAGTATTAGTATTAGTATTAGTATTAGTATTATTGTTGTTGTTATTATTAGTATTCTTATCATTGTAATGTTTCTATTATTATGATCATTATTATTATGTTTATGTATTTGCTTATTCACTTATCGTTATTAGTATAATCATTATCCGTACTATTCATATTATTCGCATTGCCATGATTGTTATTGTTATTATTATATGATCCCCGCTGGCTGACCTGGGTTTGGGAGCATCGTGGAGCCGACCGCCCGTCTCCGCTCTCGCTGACCCTGGCCTTGGAGCTGCTTCGTGGCCCGCCAGGCTCCGCGTCGCAGCCCTGGCCGCCCCGTGCTGGCGCCGGCTGGGGTCGGCGCGTGCCAGAGGTGGCCCAGCCTTTCCAGGAGGAGGAGGAGAAGGAGGAGGAGGAGGCGGAGGAGAAGGAGGAGGAGGTGGAGGAGTATGATGATGATGATGATGATGATGATGATGATGATGATGATGATGATGATGATGATGATGAGGGAGAGAGAGATGGAGAGAGAGAGGAGGAGGAGGAGGAGGAGGAGGAGGAGGAGGAGGAGGAGGAGGAGGAGGAGGAGGAGGAGGAGGAGGAGGAGGAGGAGGAGGAGAGGAGGAGGAGGACGACGACGACGACGACGACGACGACGACGACGACGACGACGACGACGAGGACGACGACGAGGAGGAGGTGGAGGAGTATGAGGAGGAGGAGGAGGAGGAGGAGGAGGAGGAGGAGGAGGAGGAGGAGGAGGAGGAGGAGGAGGAGGAGGCTGGGAAACGCACCGCTGCGCTCACGGCGGCGTGGACGACGGCGACGGTAACGTGGCCTCGGCCCCCTTGACTCTGCTCGCGTGGTTGGGAGAGCGGAGCTCAAGGCGAAGGAGTGTGCTAAGGATGAGCGGGTGTCTGCGAGATGCGGGTGTGCAGGATGCCCCGCGAGAGCGCCTGAAGAGATTGGGAAGGCCTGGTCGCCAGGGCCGCCGACCTGGGGCTCTCCTGGGAGCCTTTTGGGCTCTGTTGGGGCTTGGGCTGGGGCCAGGGCCAGGGGCAGGGCCAGGGCCGAGGCCGAGGCCGAGGCTGGGGCCACGGCCGGGGCTGGGGCCGGGGGCTGGGGGCCCAGGGCCAGGGCCGGGGCTGGGGCGCCAGGACCGGGACCTGGGCTGCGGCCCCCTGGGCTGGGCCGTGTCCGGGTCCAGGGCCGGGGCCAGAGCGGGGGCCGGGGCCCGGGCAGGAGCGGGGGCTGGGGTGCGAGGGGAAAGCGTGTTTGGGTGGCGGCGACCCCTGGGACCCCCCGGGGACCCCCCCAGGGACCCCCGCTGGTGTGCAGAATGCCCCGCGAGAGCGCCCGAAGAGATACTTGCCACCACCCTTCCTGTCCCCATCCCCCCTTTGCTTTCATTCTCCAGGTGGTGGTGGCGGTGTGTTTCTCCTCGTAGCCCGCCTAGCTTTTAGCGGAAGAGGTTCGCTCTCGCCCCGCCGACCAAAAAGTGTTTCTCCTCGCATCCTCCGAGCTGGAGGCCGCGACGGGCCCGCGAGTCCAAAGAGTAAGTCTCTAGATTGATTATCCCAGATCCCTCCTGCCGTGTTTCG